TGTCTTCCTCATTACTTGGTGTGGGTCAGTGTTTCTAACTTTATCCATTGCCGCAGACCTGTAGAAATAAAATACAGCACATATAATCTAAAAAAACTCAAATTTGAAATGCTTCAAAATCTGAAGCCATTTGAGAACCTCTATGATAGCTTAGGTAGAAAATTCCACACCTAGACTCATGTGATGAGTTGCAATTAAAACATAGGCACATGAGAAAACAATAAGGGGCATGTGAACCATAAATGGACTTCTTGTTTAGACTTGGGTCACATCTCTAAGAGACCCTATCACACATTCTCAAATGTCCCAGACTCTAAAAAGATAGGAAATCTGAAACACTGCGTATTGGTCAGGATTCTTGAGAGGAACAGAACTGGTAGAATGAATATATTTATGTATTATACACATATAAATGCACACATATACATATACGTACATACACATATCAATGTATATATGCACATATAAAATATGTATATACACATATATGTATATATCATTCATAAATCTTTGTATAGATGTACACCATCATTTCTCTTTTTGTAAGTATCTAGAAGAATGGCCGGGTCCTAGTAGGTAGATTTTTAATTTTTAAATAGATTTATATGTTTCTTAATTATGTGTTTGTTTCTTAATTATGTGTACACATACACACACAACCACATACATATTAGAGTGTCTTACAGGTTGTGGTCCAGCTAGTCCAACAATGGCTGTCAACCAGTGGAAAGTTCAAGAATCCAGTAGTTGTTCAGTTCTTGTTGCTGATGTCTCAGCTGGTCTTCAGTATATACTGGAATTCTGAAGAAGTTGGCTCTAATGCCAGGGAAAGAATGGACTTACCATTCAGAATGAGAGCAAGCAAGCAAAGAGCTTCCTTCTCCCATGTCCTTTACATGGGCTGCCAGTAGAAAGTGTGGCCCAGATTGAAGGTGGATCTTCCCATCTTACTTCTTTTAGGCAGGGTCTTTCATTGAACTTGGGGCTCACTGATTGGCTAGGCTAACTGGTCAGTGAGCTTCAGGGATCCACTTGTTTCTTTCTCTCCAGTGCTGAGATTGCAGGCTCATGTCACCTGTCTGGTTTTTTATGTGGGTGCCTGGGATCTGATCTCAGGCCTTCATGCTTGTACAGCAAGCATTAAACTGACTGAGAATTTCTCTAATCCCATGTGGAGCATCTCTTCAAGGAAACTCACCTAATCATATGAATATTTTTGTTGATATGCTTTCAAATGTTCTACCTGTGTATAATTATTGACTTTGTTTCTCTTATTTTTTTTGAGAGTTCTTTATATATAGATTGTTCCTAGCCTATGATGGTTTGGCTTACAACTTCTTGAGCACTTTGACTTTAAGTCTTGATCTTCTTCTGGATTATCAACACTGGACAGAGGCAGAAATACTCTCTCTAATGCTGGACAGGGGCAATATACTGTGCACAGCTCCCAGTCAGTTACAAGATCCAGAGGATAAACCATAAATACCCTGCAGTGTACTGTGTGGCTAAATCCTAATATTTCATAGGTCGGATGTATTTTGTACATATGTGGTATTTTCAACCTATGATAGGTTTATCGGGACATGAACTTTTTTTTTTAGTTTAAATATTATCAAGTTATAAACTGGAGGCATGGAAATTATTCAAGCGATAAAAGATGGCAGAGCTCCGGTGTGACAAGCAGCATCATGGAATACCATTTCATTAACAACTGTAGTAGATCATTGATATTCTGGACACAAGTTTCCTACCTGATATACGTTTTGCAAATTGCATTTTCTTGCAGTTGCATCTTGTCTTTTGATTCTTTTAGTATCTTTTGAAGAATAAATTTAATTTTTGCAAAATACAATTTATCATTTGTTTTAGTTTTTGGGTTGGGTTTTTGGGGTTGTGTCTAAGACTGTATGATCTAACTCAACATCACAGAGATCATCTGCTGTTTCTTCTGGAATTCTTTGCCTGTGCATTTAGGCTATGTTTTTTTTTTTTTTTCCTGAGCTACTTTTTGGGTATGGTGCACCTTTCTGCGCATGCATGTGTTCTTGTCTTAAGGCTGTTTTGGGAGGTATTCTCTGCACTGGGCTGGCCCTCCACCCTTCTTGACAATAGTTGTCCCTATGTTTGAGGTCTGTTCTAGCTACCTGTTGTGGCTTATAGATGCAGTCGTTCATCTTGGGGCCAACTTCACACTGTCTTGACTGCTTCTTGAAATTGGGTGATGTTAGTTTTCCATTTTGCTCTTTTTCAATGTTGTTTTAATTATTGTCAGCGATTAGAATTTTCATATGAATTTTTGTAATAAGTTTGTTAATTTCTCCAGAAAATCCTGCTGAGATTTGATAGGAATTATGTTGAATCAATAAATCAATTTGGGAGGTTTAGCATCCTAGCAACACTGAGTCTTCTGAGCCATGGGCAATGGACACCATTCAACTTATTTAGATCATCTTTAATGTCTCTCAGCACTTAAAATTTTTTTTCATTGTATAAGTCAAGTGTAAAGAAAGATATTTTAGTGAGCTTTATCCCTAGGTAGATAACATTTTGAATGCTATTCTAAGTGACAATCCTTTTTAATTTCAATTTATGATTGTTCATTGCTAGTGTATAGAGATAAAATTGATTTTTGTGTATTGATTTTATGTGGTGGAACTTTTCTGCACCTACACATCAGTTCTAATAGCTTTTTCTTTGGGAAATCCATTGACTTTTCTGTGTAAATGATTGTGTTATCTGTGAACAAATATGGTTTTAATTCTTCCTTGTGCCTTTATTTTTCCTTTTTTTCTTTATTGAATTGGCTAAAACCTTTAGGAATGTTGAATGAATATAGTGAGATTGAATTTCTTTTCCTTATTGTCAATCTTAAGTAAGATATTCAGTCTTCCACAGTCATGATTTTCCCTGCAGAGTTTTCAAGTCTGCTCTTATTTCATTAAGGGGTTCCTTTCTGTTACTCATCTGCTGAGAGATTTTTGGTATTTTGTTTTAATCGGGAATGGAAATTTAGTTTTTTCAAATGCTTTTTCTGCACCAATTGAAGTGAACTTTTATTCTTTTTAGCTTGTTCATGTAAATTACATTGAGATTTTAAAAATTATTTTCTTCTTTAAATTATAATTATATCATTTTCCTCTTTCCCTTTTCTCCCACATACTCTTTCTTTCTCTCTTTCAAATTCATGCCCTCTTTTTCATTAGTTGTTTTTACACACACATATATTATATCTATATTCCTTATATATATGCACATACATATACATTCCTAAATATATAAATATAACCTACTCAGCTATATAAATACAACCTACTCAGTTATATAATGTTACTTTGTATGTATGTTTTCTGAGCTGACCATTTGACATTGTATAACCAATTGGTATGCTCTTTCCTGAGGAAGACTACTGCATTTTTAAATATTAAATCAACAAAACCTTCCTGGGACAGATACTGCTTAGTATAATGGATTGTCCTATTTGAATAATCTTGAACTTGACTCTCTAAACGTCTCTTTGAAACATTTGCATCTATGTACAGAAGATTTATTAATCCAGAGATTTTCTCGTAATAACTTTGTACATACTTAGTATTAAGGTAATGTTGGGATCATACAAAGAGTTGGGAAGATTTTGTTCCTTATTACTTTCCCCTTAAATGGCAGAATTCACTAGGGAAGCCATGCGGCCTTGAAATTTCCTCATAGGAGAGTTTTAACAGCAAATTTAGTTATTTAATGCAAAGAGATCTGCTCAGGCTACCTCTTCCTAAGCAAGCTTTGATGGTTTGTATCATATAAGAATTTTGAGTGCTCTAAGCTGTCAGATTTACTATATATATAATTTGTATCATATAAGAATTTTGAGCACTCTAAGCTGTCAAATTTACTATCATGAGATTCCTAATACACCCAATAATCCTTTTAATATCATAATTTTTTAAAAAAAATTTTATTCATTTTACATACCAACCACAGATCCCCCTCCCACTCTGCTCCCCACCTCTCCCCACACTACCCATCCTCCATCCCCTCCTCCAAAAGGGTAAGGCCTCCCATGGTGGAGACAGCAAAGCCTGGTATGTTCAGTTGAGGTAGGACCAAGCCCCTATTCCCTACATCAAGGGTAAGCAAGGTGTCTGACCATAGGTAATGAGATCCAGAAAGCCAGATCATGTACCAGGGATAGATCCTGATCACATTGCCAGGAGCCCCTCAAACAGACCAAGCTACACAACTGTCTCCCCTATGCAGAGAGTCTAGTCTGGTCCCATGCAGTTTCCACAGCTGTCAGTCTGAAGTTATGAGTGTTCCAATAAGCTTGGTTCAGTTGTCTCTAGAGATTTCCCCATCATGATCTTGACTGCCCCCACCCTGCCCCCAGCTCATAGAATCCCTCTGCCCTCTCTTCGACTGAACTCCCGGAGCTTGGCCTGGTGGTTGGTTGTGGATCTCTGCCATCTGCTTCCATCAGTTGCTTGATGAAGGCTCTATGATGACAGTTGGGGTATTCACCAATCTAATTACCAGGGTAGGCCAGTTCAGGCACCCTCTCTGCTATTGCTAGTAGTCTACTCTGGTATCATCCTTGTGGATTCCTGGGAATTTCCCCAGCACCAGATTTCTCCCTTACCCCATAATATCTTCCTCTACCAAGATATCTCTTTCATGGCTTTCCCACTCCATGCCTCCCCCAGCTCAATCATCTTGTTTTCTCACATTCTCATTTCTCCTCCCCATCCCCTCCCCTCCCCTCTCCTTTCTCATGGAGATCTCCTCTGTTTACTCTTCCCAAGGTGATCCATGCATCCCTCTTAGAGTCCTCCTTGTTTCCTAGCTTCTCTGGAGTTGTGGGTTATAGTCTGATTATCCTTCACTTTACATCTAGTATCCACTTATGAGTGAGTACATACCATGTTTGTCTCTCTCAGTCTGGTTTACCTCACTCAGGATGATATTTTCTAGTTCCATCCATTTGCCTGCATATTTCATGATGTCATTGTTTTTTACAGCTGAGTAATACTCCACTGTGTATATGTACCATATTTTCTTTATCCATTCTTCAGTTGAGGAACATCTAGGTTATTTCCAGGTTGTGGTTATTATGATTAATGTTGATATGACCATAGTTGAGCAAGGGTCCTTGTAATATGATTGAGCATTCCTTGGGTATATGCCCAAGAGTGGTATTCTTGGGTCTTGAGGTAGATTGAATCACAATTTTCTGAGAAGTTGCCATACTGATTTCCAAAGTGACTGTACAAGTATGCACTCCCACCAACAGTGGAGGAGTGTTCCCCTTGCTCTACATCCTCTCCAACATAAGTTGTCATCAGTGTTTT